TATGATATGTGTGGTTTTCCAACAGAGAGAGAGAGAGAGAGTAAACAGCTTTAAACGAAGAAGTGGAATATCTAGTCCACCATATTTGTGGCGAATAGATGAAATCCCGTTTACTCCATCACCACTTGAAACCTTAAGGGAGTTTATAACTTTACTAATTTCTAGGTATGTGAAAGAAATAGATTTTATTAAGTTACTAGTCACAAACATGACTTTTGAAACAGCGCCACTTAAGAATTGATTATTGCTTGTAAAAATACCACTGAAAAGATATGTAATGGTTTTAAAGTCGTTTATAAAATGTCATTATGCCGGATCCATAGTATGTCTGTATTTTGAGTTGGTTTAACGCGTTTATTGAAAAGGAGAATTAAGTTTTGTACTTTTGAGCTCTCATTAAGTGCTAACAACCGCTCATTAATGACTTTTAACTTGTTCTTTTTGTTAATTTGACTAAAAGTTATAGGTGTCATTACCAAGGTTTGATTTGATAATTTCGAATAAATTGAGCATTGGGTTGACTGTTATAAATAAAAATAATATATTTGTAATATCCCAATGAGTAGAAAATTGGATTTTCTGACGTTTCGTGACTTAGTGTAAGTCACTTCTTCAGAGAATAAATAACCAAATTAAAATTAATCCAAGTTTAAATAGTACAACGGAGCAATGCAAGAATAATATTTGATCAATCAAAAAACAAGTCTGAACAAGTTGATATCATGTCATTTCTGTCAAGATGATTCATAAGTGAAATGTATGTAAATTTTTGTGCTGTATATGTGCTTTGCTTAAGAATGAAAACTTGTGTGACCTTTATGGTAAGAAAGGATAGAGTTTAAATTTGTAATATGATAGTGTGAAATTGTAAATACGATCAGACTGAGTGGCTAGGATAGATGGTCCAAGTAGGATGTATAGTAAGACCTTCCTTTCTATTGAGAGAAGTAGGATTAAGAATTATATGGAACACCTCAGCTACCCTCCTTTCTTTGTAGTTGGAAAAGCCTTTTTGCAATATTTTGATATTTTTAAAATCGCTTTGGTGGTTGTTGAAAATGGCATGAACTGCTATTGCCGATTTAATTTGAAGTTGGTTCAATTCTACAGGATTGTTAGGAGGTTTCTTTGTGTACCTAACATGTTCTTTGGCTCTAGTCACGATTTCGCGGGATGACTCTCCAATATAATAGGCATCACAATCGATACAACCTAGTTTGTAAACGCAGTTCTGTGTGGACATGAAAGGGATTTTGTCTTTCAGGCGAACTAAAGTATTACGTAGTGTGTCTGTTGTATTGTAATACACTTTGATTTTGTGATGTTTTAAGATTCTTTGAATTTCTTCTGTTGTGCCATGACGATATGGTAGAACTACAGTACCAATCCATGGCAGTTCATTCGAATCATTATTATAATGTAATAAACTGTTTTGTTTTAATATGCTTCTATTAATCTTCATAGGAAAATTATTAAATTGTAAGATACTAATTATATTCATTTGTTCTTTTTGTTTGTCTTCCTCTGATGTGATGATCTTGTTTATTACATTGGTAAAAATTAGGAGGCCTGATTGAATATCTGGGCTACCCGTTCCTCCGATCTAGATATTTCATCAAGTCATCTGTTTTGTTGTTTGTTTTAGCACATCATTGTGTCTATTGTGCGCACAATCTATTCAGGCGAAAGGTTGGACTCATATCGATCGGGAGAAAAAGCATCGGCTTGACCTATAATATTTGTCTACTGATACTTGATGTTGAAGTCACAGCTCAGATTCATCGTTACCCGAAGCTGTAATCTGTTATCCGTATGAACAGGGATTCCTTTCCTAGAACCAAAAATCACAATTTAAAGTTTGTGATCTGTCAATAAATTTCGGCCGTAGAGCATTTTACGGGATCTTTTAACATCACCTGTCTTTTTTGCAAGTATCGGAGTGTCCGATCATTAACATGACATGTTGCAGACACTTTTATTGGGTATATCCATTATTCCAATTTTTTTCAGTATATGTAGACCAAGAAAATCAAGGTTTGGACGTTTTGTTAGATGGTATATTCCTTTACAGTTAACTCCATTGAAGAAAAATTCACACTGTAATCAGCCAACAACTTTCAGCACTCCTATTGATGCCTTATTAGTGATATTCTTAGATGGCTTCATTGGCGGTTTTCCAAGTAGGTTACACATTTCGCCGATGTTTTATATTTTAGAGGTGACTGTATTTTGGCGCAGAATGGGTGACTGATCATATGGGATGGGAAATATAGTTCACCAGAGAGACCAGTCAAGGACAAAGAAGGGAAGACAATCACTGATATTCACGAACAGAAGAACAGGTTGTTGGAACACTTTGGAGTATTCTTGAATAGATATCAATACAACACACATAAACCGTCCTATAAACGCCACTCCACCAAAGATCGAAGAAATAAGGATGGCCATCAGATAAACCAGGTGTGGGAAAGCAACAAGATCTGACAATATACCAGCTGAAGCACTGAATTCAGGTATAGATTTAACTACAAAAATGCTCCACGTTCTATTCAGTAAGATTTGGCAAGAGGAACAAGTGCTGACAGAATAAAAAGATGAATACCTCATCAACATAACAAAGAAGGGAAATATCAGCAAATGTGAGAACTATAGAGGCAGCACACAACTATAGATATCAGTAAAAATTTTCGACAGTGTTGTTGAACTGGATGAAAGATTCGGTAGACACACGATTCCGAGATTAATAGGTTGGATTCGTTAAGGATAGGTCGCTCACGGACCAAATCGTTAGCAGCTGAAAAAGTGGTCAGCATCATCAGGAATTCATACGACGGACTACAGTGCAGAGTCTTAAATGGAGGACAACTGACAAACACATTCCAAGTAAAGACCGGAAACATACAAGGCTGCTTACTCTCACCCTTTCTATTTCTCCTTGTGGTTGATTCGATTGTGAAGACCTCGATATCTGAGGGTAGGGGAACACAATGGGCAGCATGGACGCAACTAGACGATTTTAAATTCACAGATGACCTAGTTAGCTGGGAATTCTATATTGTACCAAAATATTATATTGAATAAAGCCATTAATAATGATAATAATAGACTAAAAAATGCAGGTCAAGATAACCAGTGTAGTAGCAGCATCTGCATCAATAGGTCTCAACACACCAAGGTCAATAGCAAGATCCTGAAACACAACACGGAGAACACCAACACAATCACATTTGATGGAGAAACTGTGGAAAAGGTGGAAACTCACATACCTCGGTAACTTCATCGATGAAAAAGGAGGATCTGATGCAGACGAAAAGGTAAGTATTGAGAAAGTAAGGGCCGCATTTCCTACAGCTGAAGTATATGTGGAACTCAAAATAACTGTCTGTCAACATCAAAGTCACGTACCTATATTTTTTTTATCGCCATTAAATACATTCGCTTTGATGTTTCCGAATTATCTCGGATTCCTCTATGATGCGTCCTCAATTTGTCTAGTTGAAAATCCTTCAACTCCCAGGGTAAAATTTCAATGATATATGTTATTTTTTCTGGTTAACGTTTTTTGACAGCGTCATTCTTACGGCATCAGGTTGCCGAACCTATACCCTTTGCTCTTTCTTTATTTGAGCTGGGGGTTGGCTGTAACCCTAAAAGTGTTACTGGCGAAATTGTGGTTGAGTAGTTTTCCAATTATTCTTGTTTATTCAATCGAGCCGGATTTTATGGGTGATGTTTCATACTACTTATAAATTAAAAGTAGTTTGAATAAACGCAATCATTTCTGCACCGCATTTGTAAAACTTTTAATCTTATTATTAATAGTTTACAGACCTATTTTGAGGTCTCTTGCACAGTTCAAATTAAATTTGACTCATTTTACTTTGTTTAATATCTTTTTTGTTTATTACGAGCAAATCTACCGTTTTAAAAACTTAACACCTTGTTCGTTTTCGTTAACCTCTAATATCTCTTCATGATGTAACGATAAAGGGCTTTCTTACTTAAAAATACTATGATTCCTTTCTTATCTGGTTACTCGATAGATCTACTTATAATTTCAATTTGGTTCTTGTTTTCTAAGTACCATACAATTCAAGGTTTTTAAATTCTATGCATTTTACTCATTTTCCGCAACAGTTTCATCTATTTGAGCTGCCTTTTATTTCAGGATTTTAACGATTAAAACAGTCATAAATTTGTAATGGTCTTGTGGATTCAACATATGACAGAAAATCACTTTAACTTAACGTATGACTACCTAAATTTTTGAAGAATTACATTTCGTTTTCTAACTGACTATAGTTAAAATGGATTTATCAACCTAGTAATCTTCATTGTATAGACGAAGAAATTTATCGGTTGACGACGTAAGTTACGTTAAAATCTGATTCATATGATCGTTCAAAATAGTTATCTCTAAACAAATGCTTTAACTCAACAGATAACCAGTTCTGAAATTCAATTCAATTATCTGTTGTTTTATTTGACTGTCATATAACTTATTAGATAGTCAAATAAATATACTCATCATATCATCAGCTCAACTGAGTCTTATTGACTTACTCCAAATTGAGTTGAATTAAAGCGACTAAAAATTTTGGTTATTAAATTGACTTATATATAAAACAATAAATATAATTGGTTTGTCAACATATTTCAATTTGAAAAGCATACAAGAACTCATTCAAACAAAAAATATTGAAATTTAATAAAAATCTAATTAGCATATTTGGTATAGGCTTCAAACATCATGATATGTTATTCAGAATATTGAACAGTTGAATAAGGATCAATAGTTCATCGCATAGTATAGAAATGTTTAAGAGGTTGTAATCTATTTCAATATTTGATAAGAGAACAATTTGATTTGACAGTTATAATCACAATATATATATATATATATATATATATATATATATATATATATATATATATATATATATATATATATATCAGAGAAAGATATAAAATTAATAAGAATGAATGGAGTTTTACAGATGATGATACTAGGTTTCTCTCTGTTTCCTTACTGTTCCTCGCGGTCTCATAAATCAAAAAATGGGCAGAATCATGATTATGTTACAGTTGTTTTACCGAAATTCAAGACACAGATTGATAAAAAGTCAGAATATGTAACTCAATTAAAACAGAGAACAACATTCAACACTGACAAAGATGATGATGTTTCTGGAAAAGATTCAATAGATAACGGAGAATATGAAGACCCCTTCAGGAGACCAGATCTTAATTATTTTAACAGCAACAATGATAATGAAAATAATAATGACCAATCCGATGTTAGTGAGAAAGATCAAGATTATACTGAATCCGGTTACATAGACGAAGAGACAATGAAATATGAAAAAGCAATTCAAAAACAAAGTGGAACTAGTCAAGTGTTTAAACACATACCTAAAAATAGTATTACGAAATATACTGAAATTGATAGACCACTCAGTTTCAATAACAAAGAAGTTTTAAATAATGATGTTTTTGTCACAAGAGATTACAGCAACACCGATTTAAGTGAACTATTTAATAAATATGCTGAAGATACTAATCGAAATTCCAATGCAAAGTTTGATTTGAAGAATTATGATGTTGATATGGACAAATTGTTTAGGGAAAACATAAAATCTAATAAAATAGAGAATAACTACTATAGCGATAAAGTACAAAATAATCGTCAGAAAGAAAATCACCAGAAGAATAATATTGATAATAATAATAATAATAATCGGAGAACGGATTCATTGAGCGATAGGAGACGTCTGCAAAATTTACAGCAATATAAAAACATTTAGGAAGTTCATAAAACAAAGAAACCGAATTATCATGTGAATAAAAAGTGAAATGACAATAGTAATGAGATATTTGAGAATTGCTTCAAGAGTTCTTACTAAAATAAAAAAACAACAACATTAATATCAACGAATCAAATTAGTTAAAAACAATCCTGTGTAATGATAACATCATTATTAAGAGATTTAAACTAACTTTCATAATGTAATCACAATTTTCGAATCTCTATCTTCTTTGTTTAAAGAAATGATATGAAATAGTTTTTACAACTTTTCTCGAGTATATTTTCAGTGCCATAAGCTTTTCATCTTGTTATAATTAAGCAGGATGAATTCCAATAGAAATGTTACTAACAAGATATTTTGACCGATATTATATGAAGACCTGTTTAGAATGAATTTACTGAATGTAATCGGTAAGAATATGTAGAGTCAAACTTCACAATCATCGCCATTGATTTGATAAAATTATTTACATCTTTCAGCAAAGTGAAATACAACTAAATATTGAAATCTAAATGACTTAGCACCCAGTAACTCTAAACACATTGCTTGACAGATGATCTGCGGTAAAACTAGAAAAGGCAGTGGATTAATAAATGGCAAACTGTATGAGTTTATCTTGATCAGTCATGACTTCTTGAAGATAGCCTTTTGATCAGATGATATAGTATACAATGCACTGAGATTTTTTTTCTTTTTTATATTTATTCTCTGAAGAAGTGACTTACACTAAGTCGCGAAACGTCAGAAAATCTAATTTTCTACTCACTGGGATATTACAAATATATTATTTTTATTCAATGCACTGAGATGTTCAAATGAATATCTTGATTAAGACTTATCGAAGTTGATCCATAGAGCTCCCTCAGTATTGAAATGCAGTCACGATGATGGTTATTGTTCATACTGTTACATATTTAGAACCAGATTTTCTATAATTGAAGAGATCCTTCGTTGATGATAGCTGATGAGCATAAAATCTAATTCAAACAAGAACTTTCCCACGTTTAGACGTTACACTTCATGCTGCAGTAATGAATAGATAAGGAGCTTCATTCTGAAGCACCTAGTAACATTGTGCTATGGAGAGTCGATCAGAAATAACCAAAGGTCAATCGATGGCTACCAGAATTAACCTAAAGGTTAAGCGCATTTCATTGGGGGCAATTTCCTAAGGAGAGAGTGGTATATATATTTGTATTTGTACATTTCATTCGGTAGCCCAATACACTTTCTCGTTTACTCTTATGTTCTCGCTCGAATAGTAAGTTAGGGTGTTAGCACTTATAACACCGTGTATCAGTATCAGATTTCGGACACCGCCAGTCACAACATATTGGACATAATGTTGATGTAATGTTAGCCGTAAGATGTACCCATTGAAATCCATCTAACCTGTCCCAGTCCATCGGTATTTTGAATTCTATATATTACATAAGCCAAATCAATTTATATAGACAAACTTTGCCCATATATACGTATGATGTTTATACGATTACTTTATTTACCCTGTTTATTTAATCACTCGAATGACTCATTCCAAAAAGGTACTTTTATTTTTAAAATTTTTTCTTATTCTTCCTCTCATAGTTTCATGATCAGTGTTATTAATTGGCCGGTTAACTAATGCTTTCATTCCTTATAACATTCATTACACAACTGTTTCCAATAATCACAATTCTGTTCTAGATAATTATTCTGTCCACCTTCGGTCAATTATTCGATAGTCAACTGATAATTTGCTTCGGTTTATTTGATAGAACTTTGAATTTTATAACTGGCATATTCATCTAAATTCTTGAGTTACATTTTTATTCAGTAATTATTATTTTGATCAGAACCCCCAAAGTTCATACACGTTGTCAATTAACTCATAATCATACAGTTGGTATTAACATTTTATCCATGGAAAGAACATTACTGATATAAAATATTTCTGCAGTCAACTTATCATTAAAGTAACATCCAGCTGATGATTCCTAAATAGGACGAAACGCGCGTTCTGGATTCCACTACTAACCACTATCAATCTTATGAATTGTCCAACTAACAACACATTGAAAACTCAATAAATTTCATGATATTTATCAATTTCAATGAAATTTAGAGAGAGGGAGAGAAAAAAAAGTGTTTGTCAATTTAAAAAAAACAAACAAACAAAGATTTCAAACTTTATATTTATTAAGTGCATGACAACAATTTATCGATTTTAATTTTTGATTCATCAAAATCAAATAACAAATCATTATTATTAATATAAAAAGAAACAAATCAAGTATTTATTTAATAAAATATGCTCATTTATATTATTGTATTATATTTTGTTTAAATGAACATTATGTATTATATAAGTTTATTGATTTTTTATTATCTAATTAAAATTTATTATTCAGTACAAGGAAAAGTTTATACTACAACATCTAAAAAGCTTTTACCATATTATTATATAAATTCTCAAAAACCTTATCATTATTATTCGAATTATTTAAATCAAAGATTAAATAATTATGATGATACATTAAATCATTATTATCCATCTTATCAACGATCATATTCTAAAATGAATTATTTAATTATTCCTAAAATTGATAAATTTAAAACTATTGAAAGTGAAACAATGAAACATATGAAAGAATTTACTGAAATTATTACAGAACATAAAAAATATAATCCTATTTTACCTTTATCTAATATTAATAATAATAATAATAATAATAATAATAATAATGATATTGATAACATTGATAATGATAAAAGTCAATTTGATAATATCAATAAATTGATCAATTCAAATCAAAATCAAATTAATGATTATTCTATTGATTTATCTATAAAGAATAAACAAACACAAAAAACTTTATTATCAAATAAAAAGTTAAATGAATTAAATCATCCAAAATATGATATTTCATCTAGAATAAATCAGAAACAAGTAAATAATAGTGATATGATATTATATAAATATTCTCATAAAGAACAAGATAAAATAGTTGCTAATAATAACAACAACAACAACAAGAACAACAACAACAATCCGTATGTGTCAAAGCATGTTGATATTCAATCAAATGAAAAATTTCTATACAATAAACAAATAATTAAAAGTCGTCAATCTTCAAGGTATATTATTCTTCGTCCACGAAAAATAAAATAGTGATATTGATGATTTAAAAAAAATATATATTCACTGACCAATGTTATTATCATAGTATGCTGAATTTTGGATAGGAACCTGTAATGTAATATTGAGGATAATCATTGAGTGTAGACAAACAGTTAATTAACCTACTAATTAGTAAATATGTGATTTCTTTTCTTATTATTGATTTCTACTCTGGACTTATTGAATGTGACTGCTGGTAGTTGTATTGAATAAAGTATTATCTAGTGTTATTCCAGTTCTCTATTGTGGGTTGTGAATCCTGGATCTGACATGATATGAATAGTGTAATTATCGTATTAACGTATTATCTTAATATAACTTAAAATGAGAAAAATATTCTAAATCAAGCGTTCTATCAAAACTTATAATTGTTTTTGATAAATCTCTCGTAAGAATTTAAACTGCCTACATGGAAATACATACATTAATCAATACGAGCTGAGATCAGCTGAACACACATTAAGAAAGGCTATGAAGTGCTTTAAAATATACACTGATATCTTCACTTTTCTCCATGGGAATACAATGTTATTAACCAATATGTCCCACCTTCTGATCTAATGAAAATGACTGAAAAAATTTCTCAGTGGCTTAAATGTGAAGTTTCCATTGTTGTTCCGGACAAATCCTAACTCAAATAGAATACAAAACCATCGTAAGCACCTACCCAGGTGAAAAATGCTAAACATACTGTAACAGTGACTCGAAATTTACTTTGGCTTTTTATCAGTTCTGTGGGCAGGAAGCAAACCCTGAACATGTTAGTCTGAAATAATTAATCTTGTGCGTGTAACCATAGCTGTATTCAATACTGAACAAATGACATTCTGTGTTGATAACTTACAGAATATAGCTGACCTATACTTTCCAAAAAAACAGCAGACTTGTGCTAATCTATTTTTTTTTATATTAGTTTCGTTTAGTCATCAGTCTAATCGAAGATTCACTAGATGACTAGTTAAACTTTGTGCCTCGACTGCGAAAAGCACCGGGTATTAATAATTTCATTGGCAACTCTATAATCTCTTATGATAATTAGTTACAACATGCATTTTCAATCCTGTGAGGGTTATAAGAGAGGTGGTTTCTAGGCATAAAATGGTTAACATAGACTGCATTAAATGTGCTCCCAATTGACTTTTTCTGTTTTGCCATATTTCGATTACATTTTTTTATATTTTCTATTGACGAATAAAACTTATGTAATCTGATATGCTGCACTTTGAATCTACGAATACATATGTAGTCATATTCAAATGAATATGCTTCCAAATCCCTTTTAAAAGACAGTAAATAAATTTAATTTTTGTGAAAGTTGAATTATTTCAAGTGACATTATTCCTAATTTTAGTTTTGCTACTTACGTAATAATAAGTAGCTAGAAATGCAAATAAAAATAATGTAATTTAGTATGATTGATAAAGTAATCGCCTGTTTTCATCAAATTGGAAAGACAATGATTTAATTCAATTAATCCAAGATAATTAGATACCCACTTCGTCTCAATGTAGTTTTGATACTATCAAAGTAAAAAATCTGGGAAATGAGTGTTATGTCTTTGTAAGTATGTTCCTAGCCCACAAATCTATCAGTTCCATAATACATGAAACACGTAAGCCTAAAATGTTCAACTACCTTATCATTGTTTATCCAAACTCATTACATTGCAAAGTAGAAAAAATGGTTGGGTTATCTATTTGAACCCCCAAAAGATCTGGAAATAAACCGTGTTCCATTTGCAAAGTACCATTTAATTAGAAAAAATATATGAAAAATTTAATGGGAATATTAAACTCGGACGGTGAGTCGATTCTGATTGTAAGGATGAGAACTTGCAATACAATAAAATAGATACTAGGACGTAATGTTATACTATGATTCTACGTGAGTTTGTAGTCAAGTGATTATATAAATTTTAAAACAAATTAGATACCAAGATATCCTTATTATGTAGAATTTTAGTTATTAACTTATCATAATTCACCCAGATTATATTCATCTATAGATTGAGTTACTTACATAATCAGTATTCTAACGACTAAAAATTAACGCCGTTCATTTTTATATTTGACGACGGAGTTCATTCTAAGAGGTTTCATATACTAAAATAATAATTCAGCGACTGAAATACTCCGAGTTGAAATTTCGAATTTAATGAAGAAATAGATGTTTAGAAATTCGGTCATATCTTTTGTTGAATTTGTTTTTTAATTAACCATAGAATCCAAGACACAAGTTTCATTATGTTTAGGACTATTTATCTGAAATTAACTGTATCTCCTTGTTGATACTCACACTAAGACTTTAACCTTGTACCTATCGCTTTAAATGCTGATGCTATGATAGTTAAACCATCATAAGTCCATTGAACAACCGTTTTATTTGAACTCGAATATTATAATTTATTACATTCATTTTTACCATGATATATCAACCGTATAGTTGACATGTTACCACTGAAGAACAGTTAAACTCACCATTTACTAATCATATATTATGTCCCATATGGTTTACTACATATAATAATTGACTATTCAAAGCTATTTATTTGATCTGTTAGCGTCACCGTAATATAACTTGGCCGTATACATTGAAGAATAAAATAAAAAATGTTTACCGTTAACTGCTCACATCTCTCTGGTTATGTGGTGGCCTGATCAAAATTCTGAGTTACTTATTTTTTCTTCAAATGCGCAAATATTTCAGTTACCTCTTCTACTAAAGACCTATTCTAAGCAATCACTTTTGTATGTGATACAACTACTACTGCTACTGTATACTACTATAATAGGATAATACGACGGAGACCGAGATTTATAATACTACATGTGTTGGTTACTCGATCAGTAAGCTATACACAAACGTTACATCAGATACACAATTCGCGAACAAATATAGAGAACTGGACTAAAGGCTAGACAATACGAGTAATGGATTTAGTGCATTGCAGTTTCACTGTGACTTTCACTGTATATGTTGTCCCATACATGTTGGAATTTACCATCGAATTGGAGTTTTCAATATATACGATTTGAAGACTTCTAAATAACGGTTCATTTTGATAATACTAACATTTCATTGGAAATCCTCATAGAATAAATTTGTTAAAATTGAATGAGTTCAGCAGTAGAATAAAGCCCCTTCCTTTTGAAAACTTGTTGGTACTATTATCAACACCATTTAATGGCATATATAGCTGACACAGTCTAATATAGGCATAACTTCTTAAAAATATCTAACTGAATGGTCTATTTACATAAAAATAATACTTAATGTACATAATTCATTTTACTGTAGCTTAGTGATTACACGCAACTTCTTTATACTTAAGTCACATGGTTATATCATTTCTCATATTGGTTATGTCCAACTAGTTTTCTGTGTATTTTATTTTTTTGATAAAAAAATTATTAGGAAAACAATCTCAGATAATCGAAAGAACCCACTGTGTCACTAAATAGAAATAAGGAGAATCCATACTAGTATTGGGCTCCTCAGCAGTGCGCATCCACGATCCCGTACGCTGTTCCCGAACCCAGAACTTTTAGACCACTGAGCCGGAAGCCAACGGTGTTAATGTCTAACTTTAACCAATCCACGGTATTGCGCAACCGTCTACCATTATCTTCGGTGAGTAACTGCCTCACAACAGACACGGTTGAACTCCACTGGTCAATAGTCTAACTTTGATCCATTCATAATATCAATCTAAACTATACTAATAATTATCATGTGCCCACCAGTGACTAGATCAAAATGGATTCTCTGTATTTTCAGAGAGAAGTCGTGACCACATAACACGCATATGGGATCGTGGATGCGCACTACTGAGGAGTCCCATACTAGGACGAAACGGCCATCCAGTGCTTCTAGGTTTTCAATGGTGGTCTAAGATTGATCCATTCATGATATCAATCTAAAAGAGAATTCAGCGGAGAAAATCTTATTTTCGAGGCAACCATTTCCTTAAGATGTAAATTCGTATTTATAGTTGTTGGGTAAATATGTGTTTGTAGCAAGAAAAGATTGCATCATAAGGTGATTCGAGACTCCAAATATCAAATGAGGTTGTGCAGTAATCAGAGGGTCAGTCAGCTACAACGTAGGACCAGGCACATATGTGCATCGGTCCAGGTTGCCATACCTCATTAGCACAGCAAGATGAAAACCGGATTCATAGGAGTGGTTAGGTCAAAGGTCGTAATATATAGGAGAAAGATTGCATATAAGGGTATGGTACAGGAAGAAAGAATTAGTTAGCAGAAAGAAAGGTATAAAGTAATTTTATTCTCACCGTTTAAGGCAAACAAAGGGTACATATACCTAAACCATTGTGATCGATTCTGAGCCGTGTCACCCAGAGTCTCCAACCATTAGTTACTATAGTCACGCGGACCACAACCAAATCATCTGCATCTACCAGCATGGCTCAGATCAGAAGTTAGTGACTTTATGGACTGACGCCACGTTTTGGTTTGGCTGCCCCTAACTTCATTCCAACCATACCCAACACCATTCAGCATTGTGCGTTGTAGTAATCGGTGTTCAGGCATACGTAACACGTGGCCCAACCATCTCAGTCGATGAAGATTCACAACGTCATCAACTGATTTACCATCATTCTCAAATACCCTGCGTCTAACCTCACTATTACTTACCCGGTGATCCCAGCAGACGCCAGCAATATTTCTAAGGCATATGTGGTCAAATACTAGTAGCTTACGAGTGTCTTCTACTCTTAATGGCCATGTTTCGCTGCCGTAAAGTGAAACAGAACGGACTGTCGCGCAGTATACTCGCGTTTTATTAATAGACGGATATCTCGCCAGCGTATTCTAAATCGATAAGTTGACATTCTGGATGGAGATCAATACCCGAGAATTCAGTAGATGATAATGTTATTTCCATCAACAGGCCTATGATGAAATTAAACAAAAAATGGAGAAAGTGGACAGCCTTGACGGACACCACTTGAGGTTGCAAAAGTAGATGACAGTTCGCCATAAGCCCTGACTCGACTAGTAGTGTTCGAGTAAAGAGCCTTCACAAGGTCTATGTACTTCTGGGGCACGCCTTTCAATGACAGACACTGACACAGAATCTCGCGGTCTACAGAGTCAAATGCTGCTTTTAAGTCAAGAAAGACCACCATTGTCGGACGTCGATAAGTATGTCTGTTTTCTAGAACCTGACGAATGGTGAATATGTGGTCGATGCAGCCACAACCAGGTCTGAAGCCAGCTTGATTCTCTCGTGTTTGCAGTTCACGAGTCTTAGTTAGGCGTCTAATAATCATCGAGGCTAGTATTTTGGATACTATATTAGTTAAACTAATCCCTCTATGGTTGTCACAGGATGATTTTAACCCTCTCTTATATATTGGGACGATAAGTGATTGTGACCAGTCAGATGGAATGGCGTCCAGCTTCCAGATCTTA